TGGCTGAAGACCTGGGCAGCAATGACTGTACCATTATTCCCTGGGATGGCTTGTTGGGCAACGGAGGACACCATCCTAGGCATTTACCGAGTGCCACTGCCACATACTTAATCTGTACAATGGCACCATGAAAGAAGCCTTAAGCATTATTATAACAATTTCACAGTTCAGGGAAGTTAAGTGACTTCTCTAGGTCATTCAGCTAGTAAGTGGGGGAATTAAGATTTGATTGTATCTACCAATGAGGTTTGTAAGTTTACCTAAGAGTTGCCCTAAACAGAGATACCCTTCCCACCTCCTGTAGTGGGAAGGACAAAAATAATGAAGGACTTGGAGTAGGCCAAGCTCAGGTCTGGCAGCCAGGTCATCTGGGTTCTAAGTGCCACTCTGTCACTGATTTGGACTGTGAACCTGTCTGTGACACCTCTGTCTCTGTTGTAGGACCTTCACCTGTAAAGAGAAGTGATTGGTCTTTGGGATTTCTTGGGCCCCTTCCAACTTTCCCAGATTTCTAAGACTCTGGGGTACATATTGCTCACTTATTCATTAACTCATCGGATCATAAGAATCCTGGGAGAGAGAGGGAGGCATGGGCATGGGGTGGGTGGTCTATGTAACTTAAACAGAACAACTTAGGATACTACAAAGTTATTCACATCCAAGACAACAGGTCTTTGCGGTAAATAGGTAACTTGATGGGAAAGTCAGATTCAATATCTAGAAAGCTTGTTTATGCCTTAAAACAAGATCTATTTCCTTCTATTCTTTCATTTCCTGCCTAGATCATCTGTGTTCATTTTTCTTGCCTATAAGAAGGTGAGCAGCCTGAGAGCAAGGGTTGTGTCATCTGTTTTTTGTATTCCCCAGAGACCCTAGCACAGTCCTGGGCACGAAGAGGGATTGATAAATATTGTTGATGGATTCATTATGAAAAATAATGTTTTTGCACCTGTTATGGTGCCTTTATGTATTACCACAGTGGTCACCTTTAATAATACTTTGAATACTATCCCCATTTTCTGCAGATGGAACTGGGGCTCAGAGAAACCAAACAGTTTGGCTGCATAACCAGAAGGCAGCGGAGCTCGGGCTGACACCGGGCCTCTTGATTCCAGGCCAAGGTTCTTGTCACAAGTCCTCAACAGAGGGAACAACTCCTCCCTAAGGAGAGGAATGAGGATGTTACAAACCGCCTCTCTTGTACCCCTTGGAAACACCTCCCAGAGGCAGCACTTAGAGGATTGTCATGGATCCTTTGGGAACCCCAGGAAGACACCAGAGTAAGGAAAAGTGAGGGGTAGACTCCTTGTACTTTCTCCAATTCAAAGAATTGTCACCTCTTGTCATAGGGCTCGGTTATTTAAGTGCCTCACTGAAAGCTCCCTGGGGCAGGGTCTGGGTCACATTCATGTGTATCCCCCTCCACCAATGCCCAGGAGCACTTGAATGAATGAATGGATGAACGAGCGATTCAGTCAATATGTGGGGGACATCTAGATGCTTTCAAATAGTAGGTATGGTCTCACAGTCCCTAAAAAGGGTCTGTGCTCTTTAACAGATAATAATAATAATAATAATAATAATCAGTGTCTCCCTAGCTCTATGAAGTTTTGTAAACACTTCTGCAAGGCAAGGATTGTTATCTCAGTTTAAGAGATTTGTCCATATCACAGGGACAGTATAAGAGCTGCTATTTACTGAGCTTGTGTCAACCCTTTGCTGGTAATAGCTCACTTAAGCCTTGGTAACAACCCTCTCTGATAAGCATTATTATATCTATTCTTCAGATGAGAAACTGAGGCCCCGGAAGGTAATCTGCTTACGGTCACATGGGCCGTGATTTTGTTTGAAGCCAAAGGATCTGACTCCCAAGCCTGCAGATTTTCTTCTTAAGGCCAAACTGCCTGGATCAACGAAGCCTGGAGCTGGAAGCCCTAATGAGACACTGGCAGGCCAACAGCCCTCTTGGCTGAATCAAGGCTAATAGGGAATTTTACAGGAATAGCAGAAACAAACCCTATCTCTCAATTACACAGAATGTGAGTGCATGTGAGTGTTATGGCTCTCTGGATCTTGTGCATACTGCTTATGAGTGTACGTGTGTGAGAGTGGGGGGGGGAGAGGGAGAGAGAGAGAGAGAGAGAGAGAGAGAGAGAGAGAGAGAGAGAGAGAGAGAGAGAGACTACTTGTGTTTTCTAAGGCAGAAATACAACGGACCAATTCATATCTCTTTCTTAAATATTCCTAGATTCTGCAAGCTTTCCTATGTGACAAAAGCACAGGGGAACGGTGTTAGCGATAAGTGTGTGTGAGCAGGATTCAGGGCAGTGCCTAGCCAGGCGGCCACAGGAGGTGGCAGGAGCCCTAGAGCTGAGAGGAATTCCGGGTGTATTTATTTTATTTTTTAAGTGAAAATTGTATACATTTAAGGTGTATAACCTGATGAGTTTGATAAACATATATAGTGCAATGATGACTACAGTCAAGCCAGTTAACATATTTCCTCGTATAGTTTCCTTTTTTTTTTTTTTTATGATGAGAGCACCTGAAATCCACTCTCTTAATTTTTATTTTGTTTAGCATTCATTACAGTTACTCTACCAGCCCTCCATGACTCTGGGTGTTATGCTAGAGATAGACAAAATATAATAGTAACTATAGTCAAACCAACCTGAAGAGGCTGCCCCACCAACCAGGCACTGTTATCTCAGGGAGGAACAGGCCCAAATGCTTGTAGGTAGGGTTCGAGGCAGAGCCCTTTCTGACAGTAATCAGGCAATAAGGAACTAATGATCATCACCCAAGGAAGCGAGTGAAAGGGAGGTTTATAAAGAGCACCACGGACACAGTGTTTAGGCCTGTTCTGTACCAAAGAAGTCCGGCAAAGGATTTCAGCAGTGAGGGCATGTCCCAACACTCCAAGACTGAACATAGTTCATCCCTCCTGGAACCTCAACCATGGTATTAGAAGCAGTGCTTTAGTGCTTTTTAGAGTGCCTACTTTGAGTCAGGCACTGTTAGTTAGGCACTTCCTACAAATTATCTCATCTAATCCTCACAACAACTCAAAATGGTGAAAATTACTATTCTAGCTTTACAGAGAAGGGAATTCAAAGACTTGTTAGGTTGGGCAGTCTGATCCCCAAGCCCTATAGAGCGGCTGTGGACTTCCTTGACAAAATGGATTAATCAATATGATTGTGCAGAAGGAACAGAGTTTCTTGAACTTGGATAAAAGAGCAGTGCAGATGGAATTTCTTGGGAGACTTCCATCCAAACAACCTTGTGCAGGGCTGGCCACTCTATAGATTCTGGTACCTTTCTCTGTGTGTGTGTGTGTGTGTGTGTGTGTGTGTGTGTGTGTGTGTGTGTGTAGAAGAAAGAGAAGAGAAAGGCTAGGGGTGGCAGTGAGATCTGTAAATCATAACTGTGGGTGTTCTGGTTGGATATTTCATCCTGAGGTCTCCTCTCTACCACCACCACCCCCTTTTTAAAAATTTGACACAGAAACTGGAAGAACTGGGACAGGAATTAAGCCCTTGTTCTCAAAGATGCTCAAAGACAGACACTCCATGTGTAATACAAGAGGGGTAAGTGGTGAGTGAGGAGGCAGCGAAGGGGTAAATGTGGGCTATACAAGAGGCTTGAACTTGGAATTACCCAGACATAAAGCTCTGAAAGGGAGCCTTGGGCTATTCAGGGGAAGGAGTTAGGGCGGAAAATGATTCTAAGAGTAGGTCTGTGGTTTCCTCCTGCAAACTACAGGGGACTAGCTATTCACCCCATATTAAGGTAAGGCCCAGAGATTCATGCAGTCATCAGGTGTCTGAGCTAGTGTCATGGAGACCATGGGCTCAGATATCCACCTCCATTTCCAAATGAGGCTGAGATCAAGGACTGTTGACTTTCCCTAGATCATATAACTATTTTGTGATAGAGCCAGAACAAGACACTTTTCAAGTCAAAGTCTTGTGGTGTTTGGTTGAGGGTTTCATGGGTTGGGTAGCCACAGTGCCTGGATCCCCCACAACACCTTGAATCTTCCATGTCACTGTTCCTATAAAGACATAGAAAGCAGAATTCTCAGCTGCATCTTCAGCTTCCTGAGCTGATGTTCCCACCTACTCAACAGTTACAGATTTGTGCATTGGCGCAATTTCTCCTTTTCCTCAGTCTTATTCTACACACTCATCTCCTCTTAAACACATGCCGCCCATTTCTCTGACCATTTCTGACATTTTTTTGAACCTTGGCCATTTTAGAAAGGGCTTCCTGCAGGAGAGCAAACTTCCTTCACTGATGTACTGAAAAAGTATTTACTGAGTGCCTGTCAAGACTACACTAGACCTAGCTGTTTACCTGGTACCTGCTGGGCCCCAGGCATGTGTTAGGTATTTTATACAGGCTGAGCCTCAGTTCAGCCCCATTATGGTCCTGCAGTGTGGGTACCACAGACCCTATTCCACAGATTCAGACACTGAAGCCCAGTTAGGTTCACTTGCACGAAGATCATATGGACGGCCCATGGAAAAACCTTCACCAGACTCCTGGAAGTAGAATAATTAGAGGCAGACCATATGGATTTGAACCCTAGCTCTGCCATTTCATAGCTATGTGACCCTGAGCAAGTTGCCTAACTTTTTTGTGCCTCAGTTTCCTCACTTGTGAAATGGGGACAGTAGCAGGGTTGTTGTAAAGATTTAGGGAGAAAAATAAATATCAGGCACTCACAACATTGTAAGAACCCAATAAATATTAGCTGTTGCTGTTGTGATATTATTGTTATTATATTAGGCTATCTCATTCTCCAGGCTATGCGTTTTACACTATCTAATGTTTCTCAAACTTGTCTGAAGCATATGCCTGCCTTAGGTCAGGTTCACTGGGAAACTGAAACTCTTTGATGGAGATGTGCTGGCAGGAGGTTTCTTGCTCTCAAGAGCACCTCCTCTCAGTGAGGGCATGAGGGAAGCAGCGCCGGGCAGACGGAGACCTGGAACTGCAATGCAGTTGCAACGCTGGCCTCGGCCAACCTCGTTAAGAGCTCTGCGGCTGAGCTGGCCTTTTGGAGTTGTCGCAGATTGGACCAAGGCGTTTGGGTTTTTCTGTAATCCTCACTCAATCCCCTTCCCCATGGAGGAGTCACTGGATGCAGGCTACCTACAGGCATAACCTGGGCTGGGTAAGGCAGCTCCCTTAGAGGAGGACAACTCCCTGAGAATGAAGTGGCTGTGAACGGTGAGCTGCCGACATTGCCTGGCATCTGGAGAAGGAATGCCTCATCGTGGGGGCATCTGGGTGAGGCAGCACAGCAGCCACTACAAGCCGGAATAGCAGAAGGGTAAGTAACCCCCCGCTCTCCAAGGCAGGATTTGTGTTAATGTAGTTGCATTAATACCACCGGGGCACTAATTAATGTACAGCTTTCTGAGACTCCCTTAGAACCAGTGCCAATAATCATCTCTGGGTAGGGGGCCCAGGATTCTGCAAGTTTAACAAGCACCCCGGGTGGAAGATGTGCACCCTAAAGTTTGAGAACCATGCCCTAAAAGGTCTTGAGAAATTAGCCTTAAGTGATCAGCTGCTTGTTTGACATTTCATTCAATTCTCATATTTTATCTAAAGAATTCACTCCAATTTTGCCTCCTCTTTCAATAATATTTTCATGTCTATTTTAACGTAAAAAACAATCTTTCCCTCATATCTTCAGGAATACAGGCCTTCATTATCTTTCCTGATGACCTCCGCACAGGCCCAAGGATACCCACACCCACTTTGAGAAGCCCGGCTGCCCGGTTTGTGTCTTCACTACCCAATATCCCCTTCTGAAGACTCAGCCTCTTATGTCAAGGAGCTCGGAGTGTGGCAGACAGGTAACACACAAGGTATGTTCCAGAGCTGCAATCTTTGCCCTCCTCTGCCTGCTAGGTTCCCTTGCTTTCCAATTTCTTTTCCGGGAGCTGATAACCAATGCTCTTATAGAGTTAGCAAACTTGCTTTGCCTGGGACGGCTACCTCCCCCAACCCTCAATCAATTTCTTTCTCTCTGAGGGCAGAGTATGGCTTAGTTTGCTTTCTCCTCTGTCCATGTTCTCTACTTTCTGGATCATTAAATTGTTCTTGTCCAAATACAGCAATCTATTTCACCTCAGATGTTTGGCTGTCTTGGAAATCCAAGAGCCCCTGCGGGAGCAGAAGGCCCTGGAGAACTGAGTGATTTAGAACTCCTCCAAACCAGGCCTCCACATTTCTCAGTCCCATTCCCAGAGGGGGCCTTCGTGGTTGGAATCTTAATTCAGAAAGTGCTTCCCAAGCTGGAGGGCAAAGGAAAGCGGGGAAGGCGTAAAATGGGACGAGAGTGATTTGGTATTTGTGGCGAGTAGCTTTCTCTATCCAGGTGGGCTCTTTTCCAGGGAGCCCTATTAATAACACTATTCTCTTTGGTAACAGCTTTCATTTTGAGAAATCCCCAAGTCCTTTATGGGGAGAAATCATATCACTGACAATGAACTTGATCTCCTGAAAAGAGTCAAGTTAACAGCTGTTAAACAGCTGTATTACTCTAGTGAGAGAAAGGGAGGTTTAGGGCCTTGGAAGAATTTAGGGAGAGGAAATAGGCAGAGCCCCACTTCCTTTAACGGGGAATCACAATGCACCCAGGGTTCAGAGCAAGACCCTTGCCTTCTCTGCATTCAGCAGTCAGGCATGTAATCAGAGGAAGAAACTTGGAGGCCCAGAGAGTGCCATGGGGCCAGAGCTGGCATTCGCTGATCACTTCATGTGCCAGCTACGGGGCTAAGCCCTTTACAAGCATTATTTAATATTCTTCTCCTTGTACTGGGCGATGTGGTATCTAACATCATTGCAATTTTACATAAGCCTTGAAGAGTGACAGGCTTACCTAGCAAATATGTGGAACCCAGGTTGAGTTCCCAGGTTACTCTAAATCACTCACTCTAAATCAGGAAGTCTCCCAAACCCTCTCTTACCTTGGCTGAGATGTTGGGTTTGGACCACCTTGGCCCATGGATGGGAAGGTTGTGTCTCTCTTAAAAACGTTAAAGAACAATTTAGCTGGATATGCTCTTAAGCAAAACTCAGCATCTACTGTCCTTCAGGCAGAGAAGGGAGAGGGTCCCACACTGGGTGTCGGCAGCTTGTCTTTCTTGGGGTGCTGGCCCCCAACCCTTCTCCATGTCTAGGATCTTCCCCCAGTGGCACACTGAGCTGAGCAGAGCCCTGTGCTGCTTGGGCCTGCTCTCAGTGGATGATTTACGGGCCTCATATCCCTCTGCCATCCTCAGGAAGGAGTGATTCTTCTTACTTAGAGCCTGGCCTGGATGACTCCTGTCCAACAGCCTCGGCAGACCCCATTAAACAACAGTAATTCTCCCACCAGGAGAAAGCCAGGGAGGCAGGGACCCAGATGAGGCCCAGCACCCCTGAGAAGCCTCTTGGCTGGCCTGGGCCAGGGGCACTGCTGGATGCGGAGGAAGGATCGAGAGAGTCAGAGAGACGCAGGAGACAGAGGTAAAGGGGAGAGAGGCAGGGAGAAGTGAGGAGACAGAGAAAGGAGACAAAGAGGTAATAAAGGACAGTCATGTGGATGATTGCTGATGTGATGAAAGCTGGCCCCGCCCCCTGCACTGTAGAAACCATGTCTGCTTTTGCTCACTCTTGTATCCTCAGCACCCAGCAGTGCCTGACACACAGGACATGCTCCTAACTACTTAGTGAAGGAAATTTAAAAAATATGGAGATGTAAGGTAGAGAGAACACAAGTCCTGGAACATAAGAGCTGCTCACTAAATCCTGGACTGACTGATTACATTCACACACACACAGATAGACAATATTTTGGAGGGGTGGGAAACGGGACCCCGTCTCCAGGATGAGTGCCTTTGTAGTCCTACCAAGGGAACAAAGTATGGAGGGCTAAGGGCCAAAGGCTGTGCCCAACCAGAGGGGCCTAGGCTACGTCAGGCCTGGGGCTTCGAAGCCAGGGTGGGGAATCAGAAGGGAAAGCAAGCTTAGGCATCAGGAAGCCAGCAGCAGGCATTCGATTCCTAGGATAGAGGAGGAGCGGGCAATCAGTGGCTGAGTCGGGAGCGCCTCACTGTTTTCTGAGAATCTAGCATGAATCCCGGCATACAATGGGCACTTAGCGGAAGTTTGCTGAATACGTGATGAGAACAGGATTTGGGGATGAGAAGGTCAAGGTGAGGGATTTAGCACTGCACCCATGAAAGGGCAGTGTGATTGGTGAGGTGGGTGCTGAGGCGTAAAGGGTCCTGCTGGGCTGGATGTGCCCTGTTTTAAGGCTTAGCACTTCTGGGCAAATGTAAGTGACAGTTGTTTGTACTTTTACTCTAGAGTAGTGGTTCTCAATAGGGCAATTTTGACCCCCAGGGGACATTTGGCAATGTCTGGAGACAGTTTTGGTTGTCATGGCTGAGGAAGGTTGCTACTGGCATCTAGTGGGTCAAACCAGGGATTCTGGTAAACATCCTACAATGCACGGGACAGAGCCCACAGTGAAGAATGCTCTGGCCCAAATGTGACGGATGAGGAACCCTGCTCTGCAGCGCTATGGGAACACCACTGCCCCACCTCTGATCCTGAATCACAGGTCTCATTCTGAGGCAGTTTAGTCACCATGATTAAGATCACTACCATCAATAAAGATTCACTGAGACCTGACATGCAAAAGCAGATACCTATCATCTTGAATATTTTCCTTAAAACAGGTGACAATGCTCTGGGACTCAGAGAAGACCAACGTAAACACAATTCACTGTGCTGCCCAGCTGGAGGCCTGAAGATCGCGCCAGTCACTACCACTGTACCCACAAGGGAGCTCTATGCTGGTAACTTCCCTTTTTCCTTCTGGAATTTATAAATTTGGACCTTAGAACAGGAAGGGGTCATAAAAGCCGCTGATTTCACTGCCTGCTTTTACAAATGAAGCCACTGAAATTCCAAGAGGGAAGTGAAAAATGACTTGTCCAGGGTCACATGGCAAGTGAGTGGTAGAACCAGGCCTGGAACCCAGGTCTCTAGACTGCCAGCCTCGTGAGCTTTCCATAAGAAAGAGCCTCTGGTGACTTCAGTTTGCAAAAACTGTCTCCTGTAAGACTGAGAAGTATGGTATACATGTAAGTGATGTTTTGAGAGCCTTTCAAATGTTCAGGTAATCAGATGCAGCTCACCTGAGGCTAAGCCAGCAAGAGCCTAAGAGAAGGTTCTGGTGGGAGCCTGTGGCTCTGACGAGTGATTTACCTTCCTTAAGCATTCATGGGGAACCCCAAAAACCCAAAAAGCAAGATGACTTGATAAATAAGTAGAACATTTCTACCCTATTGTCTCAAGGAAAGGTGGTATTAGGAAATAAAGAGATTAGCCCTAGGAACAGGCATTCATACTTCTTCCCCACACTCCAGGCCCTTGAGACTTATTTTGATGACAAGAAGCTGCTATTCATTTGTCCAGGAAGAACATGCCTGTGATTAGCTCCTTTGGAGTGAAAATTAGAGAGCACAGGTTCAGCCAGAGAGGTGGGATAATTTAACAAGCCACAGAGCAGTAAAACGTCCTCTGCCCTCTACCCTCCATTCACTGCTCATCTCTGAAGACTGTTCCTGTATCACCCACCCTTGGACGCATTTCTAACTCGCTTCCCTCCTCAAGGAAGAACTGAATCTGTAACACTCGATGGCTAGTTGACTTGTACTCTGTAAAAGTGGAACTCTGATATAGTAATGAACTTGTCTGTCTCCTCCACTAGATTGTGAGATCTGTCCCAAGTGCCTGGCACAGGGGTAGGCATACATCAGGTGCTCAATAAATATTTGTTGATTTTTTTTGAAGTAAAAATAGGAAGACATACTCCAGTGAGAAAGGTGCATACCAGAGCAGGAATGGGGTGTGTTTGTATATTGGGGATGGAGGACTAAATATCGTTTTGATGTTCAGAGTCTATCAAAGAAGAAAGGATGCTACAATTTCCTGATCTCCTACTATACCCCAGGTACTGTGGCCACATATTTGCAGTCCTCTTGACAAGCCTGTAAGCAAGGTATTATTGTCCCCAGTTCACTGATAAGGAAATGAATGCTCTGAGAGCCAGGATGACATGGCACCAAAGCACAAGCTTTCCTGGCCCACCAGGCTGTCTCTTGTTACGTAAACAACGTATTTCCTTTGCTTCAATAAAACCCTGATGGTGTCTACTTGGATTGGCGAGAATGTGTCACATCAGAGCTGTGGCTCATGATGTTTTCATACCTAACACAGGTATTTAATAAGAGCAGCTGTTTTTGCTATCAGAGCACTAGAAGCTTATTCCTAAGTCCAAATAAACAAGTAAATAAAAAAAACTGATTTGATTTGTGGACTTAAGATTTATGAAGTTATTCATTTGAGAAGTCCTATAAAGTTACAAATAAACTTCTGCTAAGCACTTAATGAATCAGCTTTAGTTTTTAAATTCCCTGAAATCAGGTTACCCCGGGAAATCTAGGGTTTTGCTATAACCATGAACGGTAGGAGGCAAATTAATATAATGGGAACAACAAGTTATAAAAATGGGCCGGCCGAGTGGCTCAGTTGGCACACTCAAGAGTGCAAGCTCTAAGCAACAGGGTTGCTGGTTCGATTCCCAGCCCAAGCTGAGCTGCCACTGAGCTGCCAGGATGGCTTAGGTGAAAAAGGAAAAAAGAAAAAAAGTTACCAAAAAGACCACCACCCTACATGGAGTCCAATGGTAGAACTGCTTGCGAATGTCTGTTTGAGTTCAGCCTCCTTCCTTTCCCACTTCCCACCAGGACTGAGAGGACCTTGTTCTTTGCAGTGGAGCGAGTGTAACACCAGATACTATTCTTGTGTCGCACACAGGCGGAATCCTTGTTAACCTCCAGCCTCAGAGGCACAGATAGGAGATCCTGCTCTTGTTGTGGGTATAATTTGAGACATCCTTAGCTCTCTAGAAATTTCTTCAAAGAAGAAAATATTCTGAAGACATCTTAAACTACCAAGTAGAAAATATTGTGGAAGTTCAATGTTTAAAAATGAAAAAAAAAAAGTGTTATCTCATGACTGGTTTTTGGGAGCACTATTTCTGTGAGATGTTAAAGGGCATTCCATAAGAATGTTGTCTGTGGTAAAGTGGGCCTGGATGACAAGGTTCACACAAGAGTGTGGGCCGTGTCTCGGCATGCACTGTGCTGGCAGGCACAGCACAGCTCTAAGAGCAGCCCCAGGGGCGGAGGCCCTCACATGTACGTGGAAACCTTATTCCTCAGAGCATCTAGGGGACTAGGTATTCGTAGAGCTTTCAGAACCTCTGTTCGAAGCCTGGTTTTTACCCTGTGCTTGTCAGAATCATGAAGGCTGCTGGAGGAGGTCTCAGGAGCTACAGAGGGCAGGCGCTAAGGCCCCTGCTATGGTCTGAATGTTTCTGTGCCCCCAAATTCCTATGTTGAAACCCTAATGCCCAGTAATGGTCTTAGGAGGTGGGGACTTTGGCAGGTGCTTCGATTCTGAAGGCAGAGCCTCCATGAATGGGATTAGCGGTCTCATTAAAGAGACCCCACAGAGCTCCCGGGCCCCTTTTGCCACATGAGGACCCAAGGAGAAGGTGCTGGCAATGCAAGACAAAGAGGGTTCTTACCCGTGCGGCCATGCTGGTGCCCTGAACCTAGACTTCCAGCCTCCAGAACTGTAAGCAATACATTTCTGTTGTTTATAAGCAACCCAAACTGTGGTATTTTGTTATAGCAGCCCAACAGACTGAGACAGTCCTTTCATTTCTTACAGAGCAACTGCCCTAAAATTTGGAAAATCACTGCTCTACATACAACAGATGAAGATATGAGGCCTTTAGACAGCCTATACCTGATGGATTAATCTTCACACTCATGGCCTTCAGTGTCCTGAACCCAGAGGTCCAGAGCACAGAGTGACAAGATGCAGTGTGAATGCCAGTTCACTCCTGTCTTGACCTTACACAAGGTATTTGACCTCTCCCAGCCTCTGTCTCCTCATCTGTTCCGTGGCAGTGGTGCCAGACTACACGCTGGCATCCAGCTGGCACACAGCAGACGCTGGAGAAACGACACCCAGGGCATCTAAAAATTCTTTTGTTGCTTTTATCTTTTACATTAAAAAAAATCCTTAGCTCACCCTCACTTATCGCCATTTGCACCCCACAGCTCTGTGTCACTCTACTGTGCTCATGTTCGCTTTGTGTCTCTTTATCTTGCTCTTATAATTCTTCCCTAAAACATTTTTGTTCGATTTTTCTTATTACATTGTGACACACATTCAATGCAGGAGATTTCTAAAATTCATAAAAGGAAAAAAAAAAAAAAAAGAACAAAACCAAAAAAATCACCTGCAATTTCACCAATGGGAACGATGCTGTTCATGTGTTCCTTTTCAATTGCAGCTCATCTGAGAAACGCCTGTGCAGCTTCCTGGGGTTATTCTTTGCTGTGTTGTCAAACTTACATTTATCAAAATCACACATCCTTCTTGCTTTAGTTATATTAGTTAATTTGCATACTTTTTATCTCCAAAATAATACTAACAGGTATTCATGTTTTTTGCATTCAAGCAATACAGAAGCAAGCTGAACAGCAATGCAAGCCTTCCTTCACTCCTTCCCACCCCATCCCACTCACGTCCTGAGGAAACTACTCTTAAGTGTTGTCTTTACAGACAATTTCCTATTTATTTCCACATTATATTGATGTTGAAAAACATAGAAGATGGTCTTATCCCTACTGTTTCCTTTCTCCACCCTTTTGAATCTTTTGGCCTTAAAGCTAAATCTAGTATTTGCTCCGAAGTTTCTGAAATCAACTTTCGTAAAAGTCTAGGGCAGTGCTTGTCAGCTTCAGTGAGTGTATGAACCACCTGGGTATCTTGTTGGAAAAGCAGATTTCTGATGCAGTAGGTCTGGAGTGAGGCTGAGATCCTGCCCATCTCAGCAGCTCATGCCCCAGGTCCACTTTGAAGAGCAGAACTCCAGAGCACACATCTGCCCAAGAGACCCATTTTTCTCCTTGGCTTGTGTAAAATCACATGGCCATTTTCTCCCATGCATCCCACATCCCTGCATCACCAGCTTTCTTGGATTATCCAGAATTAAGCCAATGCATGCATCTCCCTCAAGATTTAGGGTTAACTGGTGGTATGGAGTTCCTGAGGATCTAGGTTCTAAAATAAAAAGCAACTAAATGTTCAGGGCTTTTTTGCAGGGAAGAAATGTCCAGAGGAGAAGAAGACATGATAACAATCGTGCCAACGCCCCGAAAAGCGTGGTGTGAATGCTTGGCTAAATGGAACCCAAGGGGAACAGAAAGGAGGTCTTAACCCCCGTGAGAGAGAGAACTCAAGGAGGCACAGCGAGATTTAGAAACTCAAATTTAGCTGATGTGGTCAACTGCTTTTCAGCAGCTGAGTACAAGCGAGGTTGGAGCCTGAGGAACGAAGATGGGAGAGTTACCGTCCCTGCTCTCTCTTCACCTGTTATTCTAGCCCCAAGTGTGGCCCTTTAGGGGGCTCTCGTGCCATCAGCTCCTTCACATATAAGGGAGCCCTCAACAGCACGGCCAATTCCACCCCATGTGGTTCTTAAGTGATAGCCCCCTGGCACTCATAGTGACTCCAGCACTGGGTTATGGAGGAAGGGCAGCACCTTATGAGGTAATCAGATGGTCAGGCTTCTTGTCAGTCTGGGAGGTCTATTAGGAATTCCCCTCCAGTCACTGTACGCTTAAAATCAAAGAGCTGGAGTTTCTGCTTTGTTACTGACAGTACAACAAGGACATGGAAGACACATTCCTTAGAGTTTCTACAGTTAAGCACACCATATATCATTTTGCTTCATTTTTTAAGCTGTTGGCTATTCAAGAATAGCTTAGTCCAAATCCTCTAAGAGAAACCCTTCCTTAAATGACCATGTCTCAAATTTTTTTTGTCGATGTGACTTTTCTCCATGATTTGTAGATGATATGTACAAGTATATATATACATGTATCATTTCCTCCCTGCCCCCCAATAACTAAAAGCTGCCCAAGAAAGCCAGTGGACACTTATTTGCAGTTTTCATTCAAATCCATCAGGATATTCAAAGTAAAGAATGCAAGGGGAAAGGGAACTAAATATCTATATATTTCTAATACACCTTTCATGAAGTTGACCTGCATGAGAATCATCAGAAGGATTTATTTTCCTAATCAAATCAGAGCAACAGTACTAGAAAATGACTCCTGTGGTGGAAGAAAGCAGGAGCGCTTGTGCTGAACAACCAGTGTTTGACATCAGCTTCCGCTCTATGCCTTCCCCTAAGGAACATCTCCAAGGAAATCGTAACAGGGACACATGGCCAGATCACCCCAACCAGAAGTCCTGCAAGGCCCAAGCTGGGCACAGGACGTCAGGGATCACCATGACCAGGAACCCTGTTTTGCTCATCACTGGACTCTCAGTATCTAACATAGGGCCTGTCTAGGGATGTACTGCATACGTTTGTTTCCCTTGGATAAGTGGATGAATGGATACATGGATGAGAAAATGAATGATCACTTCTAAGTCAGAATCTCTGGGACCCCTTATTCAGCTCCAGGTGTTTAGTGATTATCTCTCCCAGGTGCTTCAAATCCATTATATTTCAAATTCCAACTCATCACGCACCACCCCTTCCCTGAAAACTGCTCCTCTGGGGCTCTGGAACTCTGACGCCATCTCTGTCTGCCTGAACCATTCTTTCTCACCTTCTTCATCTACAAAGCCCCCAGTGCAAATGGTACTCCTCTCTGATGCCTTCTCTGGACACTCCTCGCCTGCTTTTCCTCACTGGCCTCTCTTATTTAAACATCGATTAGAGTCTGAGGTCAAAGACTTTTTATAAACCAAGAAGAGGAGATTGAGCCAAATGCACAAGCAGCTGAGCTCTCTCTTAGCTGAGAAAAAGAAAACTCTTTTTGCTCTTTGATCTCATTTCTCTCTGCTGCTTTTCTAGCCGCAATAAAAAGCAGAAATGGCCAAGCAGCTCTGGCCACTAACTACAGGTGTCGTAAGTTCAAACCCTGGCTTTGTGCGGGAGTTTTGACTTAGCAGTTAGGTTGCAGGAAGCCCAGCCTCACACGAAGAGAAAGAGCTAGAAGAGGGAAGAAGCTTTTCTGTGACTCTTCTGCTTTCACACATCATCATCTTGGCAAATAAGGTGTGAAAGTGATGAAGTCCACGAGGATGACATCAGTAGTTATAAAATGGGTGTATTTAACTTGCTGAAACAATGGAGAATATACTCTGGGGTTACTTCAGGCTTGGAAAGGGCCTCTTATATGGTTTGGGCTCGTGTTAGATAATTTTAAAGAGGAATCAGGGAAGCAGGGGTTGGTTCTGGAGTGGATACTCTCAAGACGTAGGGACAATGAAATAAATGAGCATGTTTATGTAGAGGTGGGAGGATTAAAGCAGGACTAGAGCTGGCAGTAGGTACATAAGCAGCACTCCCTCTGGGAAGGGCAACGGCTGTGAGAGAGGTGGCTGTTTGGTCCTTTTTGTGTTTCACATGAGCCATGTTTTTGCCCTGAGCATGGCCACAGAGAAGGTCTGCTTATGTCTTGGTCAGAGCACTGATTCTCTGCTTGTCAGCAGGGTTAATTTTCACTTTCTCTGTCTCTTCTATGAAGCTACTACTTATTTTATGCCAGGGGCTTATTTAATACCAGGCACTGCACTAATCACTCTGTATATGCGAACTTATTTATCCTTCGTAATGTAACTTTATGAGAGAGAAAGTCCTTGTAACCATTTCACAGATAAGAAAGGCTTAAGGATGTCAGTAACATTCCCACAGTCACAGAGATAAGTAAATGTCAGGGCCAGAATTTGAATTGAGATCTGCCCAATGCTAAATCCTGTGCTCTTACCTTCTATATGATACTATCTCCATTTCATCACTACCAGTGTCTACTCCATTCATTCATTTGAATATTATTCAGCCCAATGGTAGTCACTGTGCTAGGCATTGGGGATATGGGTACAAGATGTGTTCCTTGCTGTCACGGAGCTGAACAAAGACTCTTGCTTCTAGAGTCGTGCTGTCCAATATGGTAGCCACTAATGGCATATGATTGTTTAAATATAGATTTAAAGTTAAATCAATTAAATAAAATAAAAAATTCATTTCCTCATATGCACTAGCTACACTAGCTACATTTCAAGTGCTGGATAACCACATGTGGCTAATGGCTACTCTACAGGACAGTGCAGATACAGACCATTTCCACCACTGCAGAAATTTCTCTCTAAGAGTGCAGGTCTAGAGGAAATGGGTGCCCCTACCCTTCCTTGAGTCTAGCTTAAACAGTTGTAACTGCTTTTTCAATTAGGCCGTCTTTGCTCTATTTTCTAGCTGGGCAAGGAAACAACCACCAAACCCCATCAGGAGCCAAGTGTTCTTTCTGGTGTCTGTTCTTGGTGCTCTGCTGAGTCATGCCCACTTGTTTCACAGCCCCCTCCCCACCAAAGGGTTTTGGAGCTGTGATGATGGCAGAGTGAATGCCACCCAACAGAGGACAAACCCAGCCCCTATGTTTCCCGTACATCCATCAACAGAACTGTCAGCCTGGCTCAAATTTCAGAATCTTTATTGTTCCGAAAGCTGTGAGAAGCAAAAAGAAGACAGCTTGATTTTTAGGCTCCGGAGGCAAGAAGAGAAACCCGCTTTTGACTTGTAAACTGAACAAATTTGGAAGTGGATGTCACAGGGAATGAGTGTGTCAGATCCCTGGCAGAGTTCCTTAGCAGAAAAACAAAAAAACAAAAACAAAAAAAACTTCCCTCTGCGGGGACTGCAGGCATCCATACTTTCAGTTAAGCCATTTCTGTAAACAGTCTACAACCAGGTAGAGCAAAGAGAACCTCCAATCATCTTTACTCCCTTTATTCTCCCTCTTAACCCTGTAAGCCTTTCCTGAGAACTGAATACAGGCCCAGTGTGAGGGGACAGAAAAATGGAGAAGGCTAAATCTTCCTTCTTCTGGAGTGAAAAATCTACACAGGGCCATTTGGGGCAAATAGATCATCTTGTGCCT